TGACGATAACATTAAAGCTTAAAGAAGAAAATTCTAACATTTAAACCGACTAAACAATAACATAGTAAACTTGCATAATTAAACAGCAACTAAAAATGATAGGTTTTACTAAATCTTTTCCTGTGCAATTATTACTAGCATTGGAGACAAGGATAATAGTTTGTTTGAAAGAGAAAAAAACAGGCTTTGAAGTAAGCCTAAAAGCATTGAACTAGAAATAGTATTTCGAAAGTTATTGAGCACAAAAGATGAATTGCGTTTATTTTGATACACCCTATATATATATATATATATATATATATATATATATATATATATATATATATACACACATATATATATATATATATATATATATATATATATATATATATATACACACATATAAAAAATCTTAAGCTATATATGTATATATATATATATATATATATATATATATATATATATATATATATATATATATATATATATATATATATATATATATATATATATATATATATATATATATATATAAACGTTGTGGTTTTTTGAGGTAAAACGAAAAAATATATATTACGCTCTATCTATATGGTATTGAGCACTGTTTGTGTTTCGTAAACCAAAAACTTAAGATATATATATATATATATATATATATATATATATATATATATATATATATATATATATATATATATATATATATATATATATATAACGGTATACAAATTCGGCATGGCTTTGGTGAGTGGGCATGTGGGTGTGCAGGAATGGTTGTGACTGGTTGGCCTCGAATATACCATCGGTCGCTGAGGCCAAGCTTCCTCACGCTGAGGACAACTTTTCTCACGCTGACGACAAGGTTCCGCACGCTGAGGACAAGTTTCTTCACGCTGAGGACAAAGTTCCTCACGCTGAGGACAATGTTCCTCAGGCTGAGGACAAGGTTTCTCACGTTGATGACAAGGTTCCTCACGCCGAGGTCAAGCTCCCTCACGTTGAGAACAAGGTTCCTCACGCTGAGGACAAGGCTCCTCACGCTGAGGACAAGGTCCCTAATGCTGAGGATAAGGTTACTCAGGCTGAGGACAAGGTTGCTAACGCTGACGACAAGGTTCATCACGCTGAGGACAAGGTCCCTAATGCTGAGGACAAGGTTTCTCACGCTGAGGACAAGGTAGCTCATGCTGACGACAAGGTTCATCACGCTGAGGACAAGGTCCCTAATGCTCACGACAAGGTTCCTCACGCTGAGGACAAGGTCCCTAATGCTGAGGACAAGGTTTCTCACGCTGAGGACAAGGTAGCTCACGCTGACGACAAGGTTCATCACGCTGAGGACAAGTTCCTCCCGCGGAGGACAAGTTTTTTCACCCTGACGACAAGGTTCCTCACGCTGAGGACAATTTTCCTCATGCTGAGGACAAAGTTCCACCCGCTGAGGACCATGTTCCTCACGCTGAGGACAAGGCACCTCACGCTGAGGACAAGGTTCCTCACGCTGACGACAAGATTCCTCACGCTGAGGACAAGGTTCCTCACGCTTAGGATAAGGTTCCTAACGCTGAGGACAAGGTTCCTAACATGGTTCCTAACGCTGACGATAACGTTCCTCATGCTGAGGACAAGGTTTCTCAAGGTGAGGACAAGGTCCCTCTCGTTCTTCGCGCTGAGGACAAGGTCGCTAATGCCGAGAACAAGGTTCGTCACGCTCAGGACAAGGTTCCTCACGCTGAGGACAATGTTCCTCATGCTGAGGACAAGGATCCTCCCTCTCGCAGAGGACAAGGTTCCTCACGCTGAGGACAAGTTTTCTCACGCTGACGACAAGGTTCCTCACGCTAAGGACAAGTTTCCTCACGCTGAGGACAATGTTCCTCACGCTGAGGACAAGGTTTCTCACGTTGATGACAAGGTTTCTCACGCTGAGGACAAGGTTCCTCACGCCGAGGACAAGGTAACTCACGCTGAGGACAAGGTTCCTCACGCTGATGACAAGGTTCCTCACGCTGAGGACAAGGTCCCTAATGCTGAGGACAAGGCTCCTCACGCTGAGGACAAGGTTGCTCACGCTGACGACAAGGTTCCTCACGCTGAGAACAACGCCGCTCACCCTGACGACAAGATTCCTCACGCTTAGGACAAGGTTCCTAACAAGGTTCCTAACGCTGAGGACAAGGTTCCTCACGCAGAGGACAAGGTTCCTCAAGCTAAGGACAAGGTTCCTCTCGCTCTTCGCTCTGAGGACAATGTTCCTCATTCAGAGGACATGGTTCCTCACGCTGAGAAAAAGAATCCTCACAAAGTGCACAAGGTTCGTCACGCAGAGGACAAGGTTCCTCACGCTGAGGAAAAGGTTCCTCACGTTGAGCACAAGGTTCCTCACGCTGAGGACAAGGTTCCTCACGCTGAGGACAAGGTTCCTCACGCAGAGGACAAGGTTCCTCACGGTGAGGACAAGGTTCCTCACGCTGAGGACAAGGTTCCTTACCCTGAGGACAAGGTTCCTCACGCTGAGGACAATGTTCCTCACGCTGAGGACAAAGTTCCTCACGTTGAGGACAAGGTTCCTCCCTCTCGCTGAGGACAAGGTTCTTCACGCTGAAGACAAGGTTCCTCCCTCTCGCTGAGGACAAGGTTCCTCACGCTGAGGACAACTTTTCTCACGCTGACGACAAGGTTTCTCACGCTAAGGACAAAGTTCCTCACGCTGAGGACAATGTTGCTCACGCTGAGGACAAGGTTTCTCACGTTGATGACAAGTTTTCCTCACGCTGAGGACAAGGTTTCTCACGCTCAGAACAAGGTTCCTCACGCCGAGGACAAGGTTCCTCACGCTGAGGACAAGTTTCCCCACGCTGAGGACAAGGTTCCTCAGACTGAGGACAAGGTCCTAAAAACTGAAGAAAAGGCTCATCACGCTGAGGACAAGGTTTCTCACGCAGATGACAAGGTTTCTGACGCCGAGGACAAGGTTCCTCACGCTGATGAAAAGTGTCCTCACGCCGAGGACAAGGTTCCTCTCGCTATGGACAAGGTTCCTCACCCTGAGAACAAGGTACCTCACACTGAGGACAAGGTTCTTCACGCTGAGGACAACCTTCCTCACGTTGAGGACAAGGTTCCTCACGCTGACGACAAGGCTCCTCACGCTTAGGAGAAGCATCTTCACGCTGAGGACAAGGTTCCTCCCGCTTACGACAAGCTTCCTCTCGCTGAGGACAAGGTTCCTCGCCCGAGAACAATGTTTCTCACGCTGAGGACGCGGTTCTCACGCTGAGGACAAGGTTTGTCACGCTGAGGACAAGGTTCCTCACGCTGAGGACAAGGTTCCTGTCGCTGAGGACAATGTTCCTCACGCTGGGGACAAGGTTCCTCACGCTGAGGACAAGGTTCCTCACGCTGAGGTGAATTCGAATTTGAATACTCGAATTTGAATACTCTACTAAGACTGTACATTTTCTAGACACAAGGATTTATATCAACGAAAAAACAAACTAGAATCAGACGTATACATCAAACCAACAGACAAGACAATGTTACTACATAACACCTCTTTCCACCCCAACACTTGTAAACAAGGCGTAATCTACAGCCAGGCGCTACGCTACAGACGAATCATCACAGATGACACAATACTACGAAACCAACTAGAAAAACTTAAAATTATTCTGATGGCTAGAGGATACAAAACTGACACAATTGACAATGCCTTTGGGAAAGCAACACAACACACACAAAAACAATTACTTTACAACGACAAACCAAACAAAACAGAAACTCGACCAACACTTAGCATTCTTTTCAATACTAACACAACACATATTGGCCAAATCCTACAAAAACACTGGCACCTAATAGAAAGCGACCCAACGTTAAAAATACTATGGCCAAATATACCTATGGTCGCATACAAACGTAATAAAAACATTAAAGAAATGCTAGTAAGCAGCAAACTAAAAAAGACTGGTAACAAATCCAGCGATTAATTATGTAGAGTGACACTATACAGAAACATAACGCAAACAACAAATCACTGCTGTCATGCTTATTTGAAAACATACACCAAAGACCAAGATAGAGAATGATGATGTCTGAAGACAATACCAAAACAAAAAAGGCATGATGATGGGGGGACAAAAGAAAAACAAGGGATATAAGGAAGGCTCTTGCAATCTAGTTGGAATTTTTTTGTCCCTGCAATCAACAACAAAAAACTTATCGTGCCATCAGATAACTAAAATTCGACGATGAACTTTTTCATAAATTTCAGCCTACTGCTACTCATTTTTAAGCCTTTCTCACTCTTTAGAGATACATATTATTTATAAATCAAATAGCTACAAACCATAGGGACAATTGCATCCCATCTACATCACATCACATCACCGAGGTTTAAACAAAGGAATATGAAATCCTAATTAATTAAATTGATATACACAGTCGGTGTATATACCACAATATGTATATGGATCCTACCATGCACGCGCGACAATTTGTATATAATAATATAAATACACATCATGATGTACATAATACTAT